GTATAGCGAAAGAGTTAGCTTACACACATTTTCCCTCCTTAATAGCTTACAAGCTAAACAAACACACACACGCACACATACTCATACTCGAAACACACCAGCCTGATCATATGCTCGCAAAAAGTTTGAGAAGGTACTCAACTGCCCTTTTTGTGCATCAGTGAACTTTAGTTCATTGCTTACCTATCCATACGTACCAGCAAACTACACCCACTCACCAGCGAGCTATCCACTCGCACATCCACAGCCAGCCAGCTACTTTTCACATTTTTTTTTTTACCTTATTCCTTTTTTTATTTTCACATTTTTCCCCGCTATGCAGCTACTCTCTTGCTTTACTCTCTATGTTAGTGGTATCATAGACGTCTTCGCTTTGTCGAGCTAAAATTTTAAACGGAAATGCTTAATTTTGCGTAAAATTGTCGTCGTCGTCGTCGTCGTCAATGACGCACAACTTGTGGGCTGTTGAACTCATTCACATGGCTATAGACTTTGGGTTTGCTGCCTGCAACATTGCCGCACTTACATTGTATTTCGTATGTGTAACAAAATGTAAAATTTTTATAGCTTTGCTTTTCGGTCACAAAGAGTAAAAGATTGCAACATGAGTCCTGATTAAATTTTGGCATGCGAAAAGTTAGTGAGGTAAACAGCTGATTACTTACACATTAAATTAGTGTAGCATACTTAAAGGGGTAAGCTTAGAAAAAATCTGAAGATCTAAGTTTAAAGCTACAATAATTTAGCTAGGAGCTCGCCTACAGGTGACAGAGAAGCAGGTAGGTCAGGCTTCTTATAAATAAAACGAGCCGTGCTCGCAAGGCAGCTCCTCCAGCGACTGATATCCAATCCCGAAAGCTCATCGGGAGATTGCAAAAAAAATAATTACAGCAGTAAACTTTCTTAAACCTCTTTGTTATGATAACCGTATGGTAATATTTGATTAATTTTATCAATTTAATAATTGAATAAAATTTTTCAAACAGGTGGCAACCCTTTCCAAAAACAATTTTTACAGTAAACTTTCCAAAACCTCTTTATTTTGATACCTATATTGCAATATTTATCTAATTTACCTTACCAATTAAATCAAACTAAATTTTAAAATAGTTGGCAACCTTAGACAAACACATTTTCGACTAAAAGTCTTCTGACCCCCTTATTTGGAAGCCATATTGCAATAATTACTTTATCTTATCAGTTTATTTAAACTGCAATTTTCAAACAGGTGGCAACTCTCTATTTCTATATTTTAAGTTCGACCTTTTTCACTGCATTGGATAAAACTGCATTCGACTCCATGCACTAGTTTTCGAGGGATGCNTAAGATTAATAATAATAATCTTACAGCAAGTAGGTTCAAGGGAAATACCATTCCACAGTTTTGAAAAAATCGGTGTTTCGCGCTTTTGTAAAATTTAGTTACCATCGTATACGCGATACTGCGTTTGGCGTATACGAGGTACTTCGCGCTGAGCGACGATATAGTTCAATGCAGTCCAATTTTTAATTGTTTAATCTTAATTAAAAAATATTTACAATGTGGTTGTTCACGCTGATTAGGTATTTCATTGATTCTTACAAAGAAGTTGGAAACTGTGTACCTATGTACTTATTTAAAAACGTCATTTAGAGTCTGGTAATGTTTACGAAGATATTAACATACATATGTACCTAATACGGGAAGCCTGATTTTCTAAAATATGTATTTATATATATATACTTATATATGAATGTATTTCATTTATTTTCAGCCTTAAAAGGATTTACTTTTCAGAAATGCAAATAAAAATTGATTTTCTTTGGTTTGAAAAATTTGTCTATACGTACTATATAAAAGAGTTTGTGATTACCTGAGTTGTTAATCTAATAAAAAAAATGGTTATTTTTCCTTACATTTGGTAACTTTTTCGTCAAATCTTGGTTAGAAAGTTCTTTGAGCGGCGGCAACACTGGATGCGCGTACAAAAACATACAGACCAGACAGAGAGACGAAAATTTTAAACATTGTTGATTTGGCTTCTGTTGTCCTAATAAGTAATAATTTTTCTTTAATGTCTACAATGTACATACATCGGCCTGTTACAATTTTATTATATGTCAGATTTCAAAATTGTAGAAAAAATGTTAGCCAATTTTTTGCCAAAAATCTATTGACATATGATTATTATCTAATATATAAAATACACACACACACAAAGAAAATAAAAGCCCACTTTTAACAAATTTGTTTAATATTTGAATTGAAGAGGAATCTAATTTTCAGTAAGTATGTTCTATTAAAATACACTAACTTTTAAAATTAGAAAGCCATCATATTGGACCCATCACTTAAAATTTTTTAAACCTGCTTTCAGATTCGTAATCTATAGATATATTTCACTAGAATTATATGGGTGTTTAAAAAGATGAACTTTAGTTATAAGAAATGTAACCAGTAAAAGCGGCGACGAGTCTTGTCACTTCAGAACTGGGCTTTTATAGCAAATTTATCATTCTTTTAAGATCATACTTGGGTCAATTTGGTTTTTCTATGCTGAATTCCGGGATGGTAATCCAAATAAGATTCCGTGGCTCAGGATATCTACTGAAGGTAGATGCTTCTCTATCTTCATCTTCTTGGAGCTGAAAAACGCCGTTGGCTTTAAGGCATTTGAAAAAATTGTCTAGCAAACTAAGGGGCGTTTTACAGTCCGAAGTTGTTACCATAACCAGTAATCCAATTTCAACTTACCGTAATATGTGTGAAAACGCAGTCAACAAAGGTTTCGTATCCTTTAAACAAATTTTATTTGAATGAATTCGAAAATATGGTGATGCGCTCACCCTGAGAGTGATTCAACAGGCAAAGAAACTGCTAGACAATCTCTCCCGAATTCAGGTAGATGAAAAGATTTTCACTATATTATAGCATTTCATTGAGGAAACTCTGACCTGTAAGAGGAATTACCCCGCAACTTGCTTTCAAAATTAATTCTGGATAACTTTGCATATTTTTAGGCGCTAAATTTAACCTTATTGACTTATCTAATAGTGGGGTACTGAATATAGCCGCACTTAACTCCAATATATATTATATTTCTGTTCATCACAATTTCATGGTAACTTCACGGCTTTGGTGCTACACATGTTTGGGCATGTGTGTGGGTGAAGTGAAAAATAAACAAGGATTAAAATTGATGCGACTTTCTTTCTTTTTAAATTTGTGCTATTCAAGAAACATCAATACATCCATTGCAGCGCCCAATAGTCATCGTTTAAGCTCCTGAGTTAGACAAACATGCCAACTATGGCTATTTCTGACTCATCTAGATAATACATGAACCCCATAATTTTGTATGCCCGAGTTCCTAGCTGGTCTTGTACGTTTACTTTGTTAAATGCAAAATATTATTAGTTAAATTTAAGAGTACCATTAATTTCTTCGTGATTGAATAATCGGATATAAACCAAATTAGTACGTGACCACCTCTTTCGTACTACCTTTCCGTTCAAAAAAGAATTATGGAAATCGGTTAACGTGGTCCAACGTTATGCGGTAACATACATAAAAAAATACAGACATAAAAATAAAAATAAAAATATTCCGACGAATTGCTAACCCCCTCCTTTTTTAAATCGGTTAAAAAATTAAACAAAATTTTATATGAAGGGAAATCTATCAAATCTTGTGAAAATGGGAGGTGTTTAACAAGTTTTGTATTTAAAAAATATGCCAGCACTGGGGTTAAGAGATTCTTGAGATCCCCAGCTTCGTATATAAATTGTCTATGTAAATAAAAACAGGTGCTGTCTCACAAAAAGCTCAATAAAATAAGAGATTCCATTGACGTCCTTTGGTTTCAAGTTTTGAGCTTTTTGTTAATTTAATCAAATTATATCATAGTACGTAGATTAAGAGATCCAATGACATATCGGCCAAATCTGGCGGTAGAATTCGGAAGTACCTTGATGTTGGATATTTTTAGGAGCTAAATGTAAACTGTCACAAACCCTTAAAGAGTTGGCAGGTTTTCCTCAAAGTATAAAACGCTTTTAGATATATATTTTTTGTTACTCATGACTACTTTTATACATTAGACATACTTGCTTTAGACTTACTCGATCAGAATTTAGTATATCGATTTCCAGAGCCCCACTTTCAGGTAATATTATTCCCACATACATGTTTTTGATGATCGATAGTACAGAAATTGATTTCTCATTACTCCACCTGTGGAGCCAAGTGCAATACCATGGATATTTCGTTTTAATAAGCAACTACTGCTTTCAAAATGTATCTGCATACTTTGAGGGGATTGTTTCGACAAGCCCTTAATGATATCACAAAAAAAGCTTTGCTTTGTTGAGTGACATACTTTTAGGAGCACACTAATATCAAAGTAGCTTCTTACCGCTAGTATGGTTCCGTCACTAAAAGTATGCTAATAAAATAATTTGCATGATTTCGATTTCCTACTTTTAGGCATACCACTTTAAGCTATCCTGCGTGAATTGGAAAACATTAGTGAAACATTTTGTGCTTGCAATAAATACATCGATTATATGTAGTACTTTTGTAACATTTTTTGATTGCAAATATTTCACATAAAATAAGTTTAGACCTACGTATAAAAATATGCTTCATACTCTTACACATGATGGGCTATTGTAGCAACTGCATACAAGTGCTAGAAATTTCTTAATATTCACTAGAAGTGTATACTTTTAGGGTTCCAAAGATTATAACTTATGTATAATTTACAATATTAAGATGTGTTATTATAATCTCCTGTATCACTAAACATAGGAGTACATACATACAAACACTCACTTTAAATCATTCATTATACTAATCCATTGCATTCCGCTAAAACTTTATGCGAAATCATTCAAACAAATTTGCTTGCCCGCATGCATTAGCCAACATTGCCAAATCGCCGACTTTTTTATGAATTTTTGAAAATTTTTTTTTAATTGACGTTATTAGGTATCATCATCTTTTGCTGCAACACACTTACACTTGCACATTTGGAGCCAGTATTGCTTTGACGTACACGCGCTGCACAACGGTTTCATTAATTTTTCTTTTGTATTCGTATGTATGTATGTATGTATATTTTTTAACTATGTAGCCTACCGTTAGGCACACTTACTTTGGAATACACTTCCTTAAAATACACACACAAACTAAAATTGCATTTTTTTTTTAGTGCACAAAATTTTTCATTGCCTGCTCTGTTCATAGGCGCTTGCACAATTTTGTGTTTCCTAAATTTCTTATCAAGAATTCGTTCGTTTTTACGAGTATTATTAAGCAATGCAACTGTGCTGCTATCGAAAGCCAACGATGGTTCGTTTCAAACTCGATTTTTTTTTCTCTAAAATTTGCTTTATGCTATTTTATTTTTGCACAAATATAATTCTTCATTTTTTTCTGTTATTTTAAAATTTAAATTTTTCATTTTGTTTTTTTTTTTTTTTATTTGTTTCTTGTGTATGTCACACACCGCAACGCGACGCACCGTCGAGCGCTCAAAACGTAGCTGCGCTGCTGCGCTATTTTTCCAAACGACGACTACACAAAACCACGACCTTTTCAGTACTAAAGGATTTTCGCCCATTCATACATGCGTTCGTGTTGGCGTACTCGTTTGCTCGTATGCTGTGCACTCGTGCTTTTTTGCGACGCTAAGGTGTGGGTGGCGGTGCGGTGCAGTGCGGTTAGGTGAGGTGAGATGAGATGAGATGAGGTGAGGTGAGGTGACTTTCTTCATCATGCTCGTCGTTGGTACACTCAATAGCCGCGTTGGCCATCCAAGTGTCTATGTCAGCACGGCTGGAGCTTAAATTACAAGGAACGACATTCGCGTGTATGCCACTCGTTTGCTCAGTCGTGGCTTTTTCGCTTGTTTGTTCAGCCATTCACAGCAAAATAGCAGCAGAAATAGCAGCAGCAGCTGGGTTGCACTGTCGTTGACATTTTTACTCGTTCGCTCCCACACACACACACATACACTCATCGATATGCATTTTGGGTTTAGCTTTGGAGCAGGCTACTCGTAAGAGTGTATATATATATATGTATCTGTGTATGTATTCGTTTAACCGTTCATTCAGTCGTTCACAGTGTGGCCATAGTCTAATTTTTTTCCTACGAAAACTTCCTACCAAAATCCACCAAAACCTACAACAAAATTGTTTGAGGTTTTAATATTTTTGTTTAATGTCAAGCTTATTAAAAATGTAGATAACAACAAATTAAATGCGTACAGCTATTCATTTTACTGCACAGAATTATGCGACCTCACAATATCTATTGTGCTAAGCGCTAATTGTAAGCACTCCAACCTTAGGCTATTCAAAAATCTAAACACTTTGGACGGTGCCATATTCAAAAATTTTAGATGGAAAAGACAATCGATTTCCAAAGTGTATCAGTCTACGATTCATGTTTCGTGGGCAGGCTCTGTCTCTATGCATCTATTTGCTGGTTTTATTATCATTGCAACAATCTGAGATTATTCTCAGCTCCTAAATAGTTTTGCAGTGCATCCTTTAGATGCACCGAAGAATGGCTCGGAGCCATGCAACCGCATTTCGGCATTACGCTTTACGAGACAGTCAGCTTTACGCAATTGTGAGCTCCCAGGTGATTCGAAAGTCCACAAGCCTTGATGCCATTTTAAAAAGGTCTAAGGCAATATTTATTCTGGCTCCTTTCGTACCCATTAGCAGACTTTTCTGGTATCTTGGTCAAAGTACGCCATAAAGTACAACTGGATGTTCATGTTGTATATTGGCAATAATAAGGCTATACGTTTGTACTAACGAATCAGATATATTTTTGCGTATTATACGAACGCACTGGTGAAATATTCGTGTAAACAATATTTGTATTTGGAGCTACATACTTTCTATTTTCTGCAAATAACTATTACTCATTGTCACGGAATCTACCAAAATCCAATCTAGCCTACCAAACACCAAATGGGGAAAAAAACCTACCAATTTTGGTAGGAAAATCGCATTCGTGGCAACACTGGTCGTTCAGCTATTTTACAGATATTGTTGGCTGTGTTTGTTGCGCGACTGTTGGTGCAGCATATATGAGCATAAAATATTGCTTTGGATGCCCTGAAGGTGTTCAGCGCATAGGCCTCTAAAGCTACCCTGCTTTTCGTTAGATTGCAAAAAATTCCATTTAAGTATTTTGACTGAGAACCTACACTTAACTTATTTTCTTTTCATCTGTTCGCTTCTTTCAGAAACTCATTGTCTTCAAGTAAAGTGCAATATAAGAAGCCTTGAAAAACAGCAATACAATTTTGTAACCTCATTTTCTATGCGAGTACACTTGCAGAGTGAAAAAAATTAGTGCTCTCACTTTAATGCTCTATTTTGAGCACATTTTAAGCGCGCTACGAAATTCCCAGAGAGAGTGTTAAGGCGAGATAGGTAAATATTGTTTTTTTCTAATATATGTATTATCAACACAAACTCTTTCTAGTCCAAATAAAATGCGACTATCATCACTAAAATATATCTAAAGCAAAAATTAGTTCACAAAAAATCACTCATCCAACAGTACACATGCGCTCAGGGAGTTGCTAAGCGTACCTAGCAAGCTTCTACTCTCATAGCTCAAACCTCTTAACTCAACGCTGACATCGCTCCAACGTTAATCACCTACAACTCGTATTCAGCTACCCTTTCTCTCCCTATCTCTCTCTCTCTCTCTCTCTCTCTCTCTCTCTTTCTCCGCTTTTACTCCCTCACTTTTTCCCTCTCACCACAACAGCAACTCTGCATATTTCTTTCTCTCTCTCATATCTGAATGCGAAACATTTGGAATTGGCACACATATCATTTATCTTTGGGCACCAGCGACATTTGCTGTTATTTCAATACATTATTAATTTATGCTCACTTTCATGTTCGTTTATTGGTATATTAGTATGTTTGTATGCATGTATTTATGTATAGTATTTATTGTTATTGGAAACCTCTAATTTAGTGGGCTTAGTTTATTTGCATATCAAGCAATAATTCAAGGTTTAACATAGCCAAACAAAAGAAATCAAAGTTATTGTTTTACGTTGTCGTAAAAATAGAAGAAATTTAATGATAGGTTGGGAAAGTTAAAGAAAAGTACCAGGGAATCAAACTAATAAATAATTCTACTAAGCAATTAAGTATATGGGTGTGTATGGGGTTAAATTTTATTTTTAAGGTGTAGGAATAAAATGAATGGAAGGAGGATTTTTTGTTTAGTGTGCAACAGTTTCACTATATATGTACATACATTCGGTTAGGTTATGTTGGGCGGCAGCCCCGCAAGACAGGGACTCACTTACGATACAACGCCTCGAGCCGAGTATGTAATTGGGATTTCAGCTCATTTTATTTCCCAAAGGCTCCTGCGGGCTATTCGGAATGTGAAAGCCAAAGTACTCTAATCTTAACCTCGTAAACACTGGGCACCCAAGAAGGAGAGCAGATTCCACCTCCTCATATTCCAGGTTTAGAGATTGGCCCATTAAAACCCCCACCAAGAGTGAGAGCTTTGGCTTTGTAAGTGTGAGGAGTGTCCTCGGCCAGAAAGACTTTGCAATCGCACGTATCCTAGTTTCGCCTCAGTGCCGCTGTGATCCGGAACCCGCTTGTCTATCAGACTTAATGCTCGGCTCTCTGACTGTCATTGCACTCCTAAGCACCGCTTCTTTACCAGTAGCCACTTCCGCCTAAAGTACACTGCAGCAGTCCGGCAGCCTGAACTTAATATTGATGGAAAGCTCTCGACAGAAGACGCAATCCACCAATCCTGCCGTCCAGTTTCGATACATCCGTGAAGGAGTTTACTGCTCCCTCACTTCAGAAGCTCCGGCGTGCCCAATCCTCCCTTGCGATAAAGTGGACAGAAAAGAAGCTTCTAGATGCCATTTTGGTGGCATATTAATACGCGCGATCAGGAATGAATTCGAAGCCCTCTGGAAATCCAGAGTGTTCAGTTCTTAAGTCCGTCAACCAGCCTTCGTCAAAATTGACGGTAAAGGCGAAAATGAAAACAAAGAGCCAGCATAATATACATAAGAATTAGGGTAACTGATAGGGTAAGAAAATTCAACGAAATTTTTCAGTAAGAACCGAAATATATCCAGTCATCAGAAATTTAGTTGTCGAAAGTTATCAAGTTTCTTATAACCGAAGTTTATAGTTATCGATATTTATCGGATCATCCATATTTTTAAGTTATCGGAATGTAACGAGTTATTGAAATTGATCAATGTTTATTGAATTATCGAAATTTAACGAAACGCAGAAGTTAAGTTATAAAAATTTATCTGATTAGTTTATTAAATTTTATTTTATAATTTATTTATTGAATAAACAATATTTATCGGGTGATCAAAACATATAGAGCTATCGAATTTTATCGAGTTATCGTGGTGTATCGATTTCTTGAAAATGATTGAGTTATCGATATTTACTAATTTATCGAAACTTTTTGATAGTTATCGGATTTTTTGTGAATGAAATCGAAGTTTTTGGAATTTTCAAGTACATAGGGTTTTCGAAATATCCACAATCAAATGAATTTTTCTAGTATCTCTATTTATCGATTTATCAAATTTTATCGAGTTACCAGATTGTATCGATCTATCGAAATTTGTCGACAGATTTTAAAATTAATGGAGCTATCAAAATCAAGTTATCAATGGATATCGCTATATGTAAATTTTGGAGGTTTAGAAATGTATCCAGTTCTGAAAACGCAAGGTTGTCTAATAGCGTTTTCTTTTCTCAAAAAAAGTTGTGCCCTTTTGTATGGGAACTCTTGCCTTGCGTTGCCCTGAAACCTCAGAAAATGTTGCGTTCTTTATATGAGAATGAAACAGAAAATATACTACTCCATCACAATTTATTTATAGAACTTAATAAATCTGAATTATTCACTTGGCCTGTAAGTCTTCAACAATTTTAAAGCAAAACGCTTATTTCTGATAGGGAAAATAATTGCATTTTTACAAGATTAAATTAAAAATCCACCATGCAACTCTCGCCCTCACGTTTATTTGAGGGCAGAAAAGGCAGCACTTTCGCCGGATCAGAGCGCAACCTGCTGAGAAAAGAACACGACGCCTTGTGA